ATCCTCCGCGGCTCGGGGTTCGTGGTCGGCATCGCAGGTGCAGGTCTGCTCATCGGTCTTAACGTCGCGCACGAGTCCGAAGTCAACGACTACCTGAGCGAGTCGCTCCAGCAGCTGCGCGTCGCCAAGATCGAGCTGCTCGCGAAGAACGCCAACGCGACGCGCCTGCAGGTGGCGCAGGCGGCGGCGCTCGTCAGCTTTGGCGACGCGCTCGTCAACGTGACGGCGACGTACGACACCGTCGCGCGGCCCGTCGCCGACGCGCTGTGCGAGGCGTGCGACAACTGCGCCGAACTAACATTTTAGTACCTATAGAAGGACATCACACCTTGATGTCGCATGCCGACTGATAAAGAACAAACAACGAACGCCGCCGACAAATGTGAACTATGTCAACTATGAGAACATGTATTGAACTGCCGCGATTCCCAAGCACTTCTAGAAGCTTCTGCTGCCGTTCTCACGTTAGAGAAGAAAGTCTCTCACCTTCAGTTGTCCATAAATTTCTGGAGAAGGACACAGGATTGCACCACCATCGTCAACAAGGCCTTGACCACGCCTGGGCCGCGAAATTTTTTTCCCCACTTGAGTTCCGGACCCACCATAGATAGTGTTTTGTAATATATGGTTCGTATATATATAGTTGGATTATAGTTAGGGTTAGGGTTAGGGTTAGGGTTAGGGCTTAGGGCTTAGGGCTTAGGGCTTAGGGCTTAGGGTTAGGCTTCGAGGAAGTCGAGTGAATAGAGTGCGCTGATTGGCTGTGGTCCGGATCTCAAGTGGGAAAACGGCCACGCATTCCTCCAGTTGCATAAATACTGAACAGTTTCGACAAGAAGACAGACACAGTTCCACGGTACTGACAGATCCCGACGCTGTCAGCACTCACCTGCTGCTCGCTGCTACCGTTGCCGCCGGACATCGCCGCCTGACTGAGGACCTGCTTGCGACCTGCAGGATTCCACGCTCGTAAACATAATCTGCATTTGTAAACCAGTCGCTTGTCTGTATGTGCTCGGTGTATAATATATGTATTGTATGTGTGGTGAGCGTACAGGGCGCGCGCGCTGGCAATAGGATGCTGCGCAAACAAACCACTGAACCCACAACTACAGTGTGCGAGGTTTCTTTATTGCGAAGAAAACGTGAAAGAAAAGACAAAGCGGTGTCCGAGTCCACGTCCTTCCACTCCTAATCCCGATTTTACACAGCTCCGTTCCCCTTGTCTCCTACAGCCGAAGTGAGCTTTGCGCGCGAATCCGGGAGCTCATTCCCGCCTGCGACAATCACGTGCTGCCACCTATCGACGGCAAGCATACCCGATTCCTAACCGGTTACATTCTCCCCCGCTTTAAATCACAGCCCTCTGTGATACACGAGACCAAAGGTGGCGAACAGGATCACGAGAGGAGTGGAAGCAGCTCGGAGACAGCACCATCCGTGACACAGCGGAATGTACACAAATCACACATCAACTATACGGCCATGCCGCCTGCCAGCTCTACCCAAAAACCGTCCAGCCAAGTCAATAAAACAGTCCTGTATTTGGATGACTGCAGACCTTGGCGCATGAAAGGGATTGTCATTCTGCCCTGCTGTCTTGCGTGTGGACCGCCTGGGTCCTGGTGGGTGGTTCATGGGGGCTTCTAATTGAGCGGCCTTAGGTGTCTTTAGGTCCCCAGCAACTGTATCTTCGGCTGGTGGTCGCTGTGCCATCACCGGGCCAGCAGGTGCAGCCGGTGTGACGTCTCTACCAGTAGGTGTAGTCGTTGCACCCTCCACCACTTGGTCCAAAAGAGGTGGTCTCTCATTCGCGGCTGCTCCTCGGTGGTTACGTGTTTTTGGGGTGGGACGGGCTGAACAAGGACCAAGGCAGCTTCGTCATCAGAGTCAGTGTCTATAGCCTGAATGTCGTTGGCCTTGACCGATGGGAGGGAGACAGGTGGTGAGGTGGCTGTGGGGGCACCACAGCTACTGTTGGTCGAAGATTTACGCGGCTTATGTTGCGAGAGTCACCTCCTCCCGCAGGCTGCACAGTGTACAGGTTATGTCCAAGCACCTGGGTCACCCGGTATAGGTTGGGTAGCCAGGCATCCTGGATCTTGTTACGGCCCTGAACACGGTTGCGCAGGTACACGTAGGTGCCTAGCTCTAGGGGAGGCTCAGCACGACTCTGCGTCCTATCCCACTGCCTCTCATTCACTGCATCTAGCTTCTCCCCAGCTTAGAAGAATGCGTCTCTCAGCCGCTCCTGGTGGGTTGCCAACCAGTCTGTGGTCACATCGTCTTTATCTGGGGTGCCGAGCAGTCCATCAACAGGCAATCGCGGGCTCCGTCCAAACATCAGATAGTAGGGGGAATATCCCGTAGCTGCATGGGGCGTAGCGTTGTAAGTGAACAACACCTCGGGGAGAAACTTAGGCCAACGACGTTTCTTCTCTGGTGGGAGCGTCCTGAGAAGGTCGTGGATGGTGCAGTTGAAGCGCTCGCACTGTCCGTTGCCTTGTGGGTGGTAGGGGCTGGTCCGTGACTTCACCTGGTAGATACTGCATAGTTCACTAACCACTTTGCTCTCGAAATTCCGACCCTGATCCGAGTGGAGCCGTGCTGGAACTCCGTAGCGATGAAACCATTCTTTCCCCAGGGCCTTGGCTGTTGTGGATGCGCGCTGATCTCTAGTGGGCGCAGCCACGGTAAACTTTGTGAAGACATCTGTCATCACTAAGATGGTTTCTCTGCCATCACTGGCTCGGTCCAGCAGAGTGAAGTATATGGTTCGTTCGCCGCCACCAGAACCTCCTTATTCCCCGGCTCCATGGTGGGTCCTGGCAAGCGTGAGAGTGCGTCAGCACTCCGGTTTTCCTGCCCTGGGCGATACTTCACGCTGAAGTCGAACAGAGCAAGCTGCAGCCCACCTCCGTTCAACAGCCCCGAGCTTCGTGGACGTCTGTAGGTAGCTCAACGGGTTGTTGTCGGTGTAAGCGACGAACTTCTGCCCTAGCAGATAACCACGGAACTTGTCCGCCACAGTCCACTTGAGGGCAAGGAGTTCCAACTTCATCGAACTGTAGTTAGAGTCGTTCTGCTCCGCAGGCTTTATCATGCGGCTGGCATAGGCTATCACTCGACGTCGTCCGTCCTGTTCTTGCGATAGTACAGCCCCAAGCCCTCGATGTGAGGCATCAATCTCTACAATGAAGGGCCGACTATAGTCCGCATAGCCAAGTATAGGAGGGTTAAGAAACCTTGATTTCAGGTCACTAAAGGCCCCCTGTTGAACGTCCGTCCAACGATCCACAAACGGAGGGTGTAGACGACGGCCAAGCTTCACATCCCGGTTGCACTCATTCACTAAGTCATGAAGTTGGCCAGCCACTTTGGCGAAGCGGGGGATGTAGCGCCGATAATAACTACAGAACCCCAGGAAGGAGCGCAAGTCCTTGATGCTCTTAGAGACAATCCACTGCTATACAGCCGATGTCTTCTCTTGGTCGGCGGCAATGCCGTCACTTGAAACTACGTGTCACAGGAAGGTGGTCCTGCATGGTCGCCTGCATCAGTCGTTGGAACGTGGAAGGCGCATTATAGAGCCCGAATGCCCTTCGTGTGAATTGAACAGGCCAGACGGTGTTGTGAACGCCGTCTTCGCGTGGTCAGCAGGGTCCAGGGCCACCTGGTGATACCCTGAAGCCAGATCCAGGGAAGAAAAATACTTGGCATCTTTAAGGGCATCCCACGACTCCTCAATCCGGGGATAAGGTATGCGTCCTTCACGGTCCTGGCATTGAGCTGACGGTAGTCAACACACAGCCGAAGACTGCCATTCTTCTTCCGCACCACAACAATCGGGGAGGAGTATGGACTACAGCTTTCCCTAATGACACCTTTGGCAAGGAGCTTATTGATGTGGTCCCGGACCTCCTCATACTGGGATGGGGGAATACGGCGATAGGGTTGCTTGACGGGTCTAGCATCAGTGGTCGGGATGCTATGGGCCACACGATCTGTGAACCCAAGGTCCTCTTCCTCTGTCACGAAGAGATCAGAAAAGCGGTGCAGCAACGTCTCCAGTTTGGACCTCTGCTCTTCTGTGACAGACCCGGGCAGTGTATCCAAGGAAGGCAAGTGTGGCCGAGTCTCAGCCTCTGAGTCCGCTGCAGCGAGGATCGAGACATGTTCCTCGTTCACTGACACACGCTTAAAGATTACACTGGAGGGGCTGTGTAAACCCTGGACGCGGTGGACCACACCCACCCTTGTACGTGGCTTTAGGTGCACATCCTCAGCAGACAGGTTGGCAATCCGCATATAAAGGCTGTTTCCCCGTGCCGGTGACAGCGTGCTAATCAGCGTCAGGTGACCTGGCAGGCCTCCTGCGCGTGCACTCGTGCCCTCGCTCTATCACTCTGTCTATCTATATCTCGCTCCTCCATCTCCTTTTCTCTCCATCTTTCCTTCCATCTATCTCTGTGTTTGTGTCTGTCTAGGTCTATTGCCTTATATATATATATATATATATATATATATATATATAATAAAGAGAGAGAGAGAGCTAGATATTCATCTTCTCTTATATTTCGCCTTCCACTATCTCTCTATTCTCCACCTTTCCCCTTCTTACCCTCCTACCCGTTCTCTCTTCTTTCGCTCTCTCTCCTCTTCTCAGTCGCACACATACAATCAACCTATAAGTTTTGCTGTTCACAGGGCATGCATTGCTTTGCATACTTCTAGAGTTTTTTTTACCATTTTCCTATACACCAAACATTAAATTATTAAAACGGTAAGCGTAACATCTGAGACATTTGAAATTATAGGTAGCGCACTTCCAACTCCAATGTAAACCAAAAGAAAAACATTGTTGAATCTGTGTGCGCGATTTTCTGGCATTTATATACCATGCATTCCGTCAGTATCTTAGTTTATTACAACGTTGCCTTACGTAATTAAGTTATCCGCACATAAACGCAATCGGTTCTTTTGTCCCGTTTCAGGGCAACATGAGGAGGAGCTTACAGAGAATGTCTGCGCTGCTGGCCCTGTGTCTACTAATGCAGGAATTCCACCTCACCATGCAGGTAGCAGGTGCGGCGAAGCAGCCGGTGAAGAGACAACACAGACACGCCATCAATGAACTCGATGTGAGTCGACGCGCATGTCTATAATTTATTCAATAATGTCTGTAATCCTACCCGAAACCACAAAACGCCTACCGTTAGTACTGCAAAGGCATAAAGCTGTAATGCCTTCAGTAATCTAAAGTTAGGGGTAAAAAGCACGGAGGCGTGTGACAGGCTAAAGTGTGAGGAATTCGGCATCTATCCGCTTATTTTATCTCAGATTCAGTTTTGTGATAATTCATTTTTACTCGTAAACTTAATATAAGTGTGTTCTGTTATATTTCCCAACAGCAGCCGTTGAGATACACTCCCACGGGTTTAGCTCCACACGTGAAAAGAGAGGTGAATAACTAGACAACAAATAATTTATACTTAAAGTAATTAAGTCACAAAATGTCTGCTCTCAGTACTTTTACCTAATTGTGCTAATTGTACGCTATATGATATCATTCCCCTTCCGCTGTCTCGTATTATATTTGTTATTGGCTATGACCTATTAGTTATTTAGTCAAATTAATACGTTTATAATTGCCGACGTGTTAAACTATCATCTGCGACCAAAAATCGAGGAATTCTTTGCTTATTAAAAAATGGAAAGTTGTTGTGACATGATACTTTAAAACCAAACACAAGTAGATCCTGTTATGTCATAAATAATATTATATATGACGTTACAAATTAATAGCGATAATAATAATACGTAGATAATAATTATGTATATTATTATATATCATATTATGTATATATATCATTATATATATACATCGTACCCATAATATATATGATATAATCCTAGCGATGTTTCACCGATGGTCTAACATAGGTTAAATGATGGTTTACCCATGATACTACTAACGGTTTTCACATTACATCTAATAATGGTTTCCCGATGTTTTACGGTAGGTTAAAGATGGTTTACCGATGTTTTAACGATGATTTGACAATGGTTTAGCGATAGCCTAACTGCAGTTCTGTCATCGCAGCTGTCACGGCATTAGCTCGCCTCGCGCCCTTCTTCAAGAGCGTCGCGCCCTTGGCCAAGATTGCGGCGATAGGAACCGTATCTACACTTTCCATCGTCAGAATTGGTACATTCGCTCTTACTTTCGCACGCATGGTAAGAGTACATACCGTGCTTCACGAGTCGACAACGTGTTGGGCATGTGTATGTTTTTATTTTGTAAAAAACAACAACACCATCGGTTACTGTTTATGCACTCCCAGCCGTCACCATCTTTTTAATCACTCTTCTGCACTACTCTCTCTCTCTCCCCGCCATCTTCTTTCTCTTTCTTCCTCCCCGTTCCCTTCACTCTCTTACTATCTAATTTTGTCGGTCTAATTTTATTCATTTTGCCTCTATATATGGTGAACTTAGCTATTTGAATACATAAATTTACAATAATGTCAACACCCTCTATACCAAGAATAATATCCGTTTTTGGAAAAAAGTTTTAGACGTGTTTGACCGTGACTGACCAACCAAGCATGCAGTTCAGACCATACATCAATTACACAATCACATTCAGCAAATACATGAACCACAGTTTCACTAGCATTCTTACAAAATGTACATCTATCGTGATCCACAATTTTTATACTATAAAGGAAAACTGTTGTTGTCAAAATGCTATGAAGAATTCTATATTGGAAGTATCTTAGGTTAGTATCAATAAAGGTCTGGAACGGAACGAGGTAGAACATTGATCTATCTATCTATTTATATATATCTACTATCTATCTTATCTTCTTATCTAATGCTGATCTATCTAATCTATCTATCTATCTAATCTATCTATGCTATCTATCTATCTAATCTATCTATCTATTCTATCATCTGTCTATGTTCTATCTATCTCCTCTATCTATCTATCTATCTATCTATCTATCTATCTATCTATCCTATCTATCGTATCTTCTATTCTATCTATCTATCTAGTGTTATTTATCTAATCTATCTAATCTATCTATCTAATCTATCTAGCTAGCTATCTTATCTAATCTATCTATCTATCTATCTATCTAATCATCTATCTATATATCCACCCATGCCATCCATCAATCCATCCAACTATTCTTCCACGCACCCACCCATCATGCCATCTATGCCATCCATCCATCTATCCATCCCATCCATCCATCCATCCATCTCATCTACTAGCTCTGTCTCTGTCTCCTCTCTCTCCTTTCTCTCTCTCTCTCTCTCTCTATATCTTCTCCTCGTCTCTGCTCTCTCGCTCTCCTCTCTCCTCTCGTCTCTTCTCTCGCTCTCTCTCTCGCTCTTCCTCTTCTCTCTTTCTGCTCTATGTTCTCTGTCTTCACTCTCTCCCTCTATTCGTATCCCGCTTCCTTGCCTCTCAATATTTCGCGTTCGGCTTTCGTCGTTTCTTTCCCCACTCCTTCTATTTCCACTTTTGTCTGCTCTCACTGGACCGTTCCTCTCTCCTCTCTGCAGTTTTATCAACGGAAACGCAAAATAGGATAATATAATAATGCCAAGCAATTTAGCTGTAAGTGTAAAGGGCGGAGAAACCACGAAACCTGCATCAATTACAAAGGTCTTCTAATCTCCGTACAGATCAGCGACGTGTGTCTGCCACCTGTAGCTACCCGGATATCTGTCGAGCAATCCAGCAGGGGTGTCGGCGTGCGTCAATGGACATCTTAGGCGAGCAGGATCGAACTGAAGCGCGAACAGAAGCAGATGAGATGACTGGAACGATAACTGAATCTTGTGCGGCCGGCAGACATGACGCGCCTCAACAACAACAGACTTCGTATTGGCGAGCAGTACAACGGCATCGCCGACGATTCGCTTCCGATCAGAAGGGCATACAGCACTGGGCTCTGGATGAGACGCGGTAGGTAGTGTAGCGAGCGGGATGTCACGTGCGAGGCGGGGGGCGTTGAAACTTCCAGAACATCAGAAGGTAGTTATGACCTCACGCGCGGCTTAATTATAGCTTTCAACGCCAACAGTAACTGTGTTACCATAATCACTATAATTGCAGTTTGTAGCTGCAATTGCGTCTAATTTGCTTCCTATGATTAAACAATTACTTGCGCACCACGATTGACAGCACACATCGCCGCACGCACGCACGGCGCGCAGCGACGCACACAACACACACACAAATACACACACACACACAACACACACACCACACACCACACACACAGCACACCACAGCACAGCAAACACAACACACACACACAGCTCTATATATACAGCAGGCATCTATATTAATGACACTCGATACCACCAGCTTAACGAACGTTGTCCCTTTCATTACTACGCGGCGGCAGATATGGCCGATAAAATCACTCTGGGCGCATTCCGGCCGCTGGCCTTCGATTCAGCGCAGGCGCGGCGTCGCTCGTGCTCTCGTCCACGAGCGAACCCCAGCAGCAGCGAACCGCCGTGCTCCGTCTCCGCTCGGATACTAGCGCTCAGTAGCTGTCGCAGCCTGGGCCGGCTCGCTACCAGGTGCCTTCACGTGTGGCGCACACAAATATCAGCGCGCAGTTTCCCGGCGCCACGTTGGCGGGCGGTCGCCGGAGGCGGTGCCACCTCAACGCGCGGGTCAGGCGCGCCAGTGCGGGCGGCGCGTGCGCGAGGATCCATCTGCGGCGGTTTATCCCTCGCGGCTCGGGGTTCGTGGTCGCATCGCAGGGTGCAGGTGCTGCTCAATCGGTCTTAACGTCGGGCCACGAGTCCGAAGTCAACGACTACCTGAGCGAGTGCCGCTCCACAGCTGCGCGATCGCCAAGATCGAGCTGCCTCGCGAGAACTCCAACGCGAGGCGCCTGCAGGTGGCGCAGGCGGCGGGCGCTCGTCAGCTTGGCGACTGCGCGTCGTTCAACGTGACGGCGACGGTACGAACAGCATCGCGCGGCCCGTCGCCGAGCCTGGTGCGCGAGGCGTGCGACAACTGCGCCGAACTGACGCGCGAGTTCTGCGCGGGGAACTGCGGCGGCGGCGACGACAGCGCGTGTTCGACGTCGTGCGAAGCAACGCAGGGCCGGCAGCTGTGCGAGTCGTGCGACAGTGTCGCGGCCTTCGAGCTGTGCGCGCCGACGGCGAGCATGGTCGACGAGCGACTGTCGCAGCCGAACATGCTTGCGCTGTCCGGCCTGCAGACAAACTTCAAGCAGCTGCTGGGGGAGCAGAAGAACTCGCTCAAGGTCGCACTCGACTACATCAAAGTGCGCTCGGACTCGATAGGCTACATCGTGCAGGCGGCGACGCTCGTGCCTCCGCGCTCGCTCGCCGACATCGTCCAGGACCTGCAGCTCAGCGCCAACTACCCGGACTACACTCGCGAGCAGGTGCTCAAGTTCCTCCACGCAGCCGTACCCGCCTGGACGACGTTCGACGGCTGCGACCTGGCGACGGCCGCCTGCTGGGACACGATCGTCGCCGACGGCGTCGTCGCCAACCGGTTGCCGGTGACAATCCTCGCCGACGTAAGAAAGCTGGATGCGACGAAGACGCTCGGGGAGGTGTTATCGGCGATCAAGAGGTTGAGATCCGCGCTGACGCAGTACCAGTACTGCCTGCTCGCGGCGCCGTACACGTGCGCCGAGACGAAGATCGACGAGTGGATACACCGATCGCGTCCGCGCAGCGCCGAACTCATGCTGGAGCTGCTGGAGGAACTCGGCTTGCATATCGGCGAGAGACAGCTGCTGGGGTTTGTCGCAGGGCTGCTGCCGGGAGAGGTCACGTACAAGGGTTGCAGCCTCATCACGCTCATGTGCTGAGTGCGTGATCACCTACCGCGGCTGCAGCCTCACCATGCTCACGTGCTGAGCGCGTGATCACGTACCGCGCCTGCAGCCTCACCATGCTCACACGCTCACACAATTTTAACCTGAAAATGTTTCATGCGTAAAGATCAAAAATATGTGTCTTTATTATAAGTGTAATCTATATACATATACAGTGAAGGCTATATGAGAATAAGTGCAATAAAGGTTAAATGCCTAAAAGTTTTTCTTATGGACAGGTGTCTATTTTGTACTGGCTTTACTCTACATCACTACCAATTAAAGGAAAACAACGTCCTTAGTGACGGGTGACTGTTATATAGAGGTGATTTTCATGTAGAACTTGCAATTAATAGGTGTACATTTGACGCTGGGGCCGGCTAACACCTGTATGTCTGGCTGTATAGTGTATTAGCAACACCTTTGCAGGGCCTCAAACTAGAATTGAGCAGTTCATGAATATAAGCGCTGACCACAATTCATTTTCGCGATGTGCAACATGTGCAAATGTGGACAGCTCTTATATCCTTGGGCCGAATTGAGCAGTGCATCCGACATAACCCATTAATTCACAGTATGTGAGTGCTGACCTGCATTATTCTGGGTGATTATTTAAATTTTTAAGTACTCCATCTCTGCAGTACTGTATTAAATTGGATAACAATTTGGCGCCGTGACTCTAAGAACCAGGGTATTCCTTTGCCAAACAACGAACTAAAGGTACTATAGCTATACAATGCACGAAAGTCGAGAGAAACACTGAGTCAAGACACCTGTAACAATAAAGAAGAAGAAGAAGACTATTGGACTATTGTGCCGTAGGAAGGAAGTATTGGCGTTTTCGCTATACGACCAGTGCGTATGGAAATGCTTACGAACAATCATGTTGCCGCTAAGGCGCACATAAGCCAGAACTTATATTGTACGACCTGGTTATCGACGACGGGAAGAACAGCAGAATACGATCACGACAAAGCGAGGAACAGCAGAATACGATCACGACGACACGAGGAACAGCAGAATACAATCACGACGACGCAAGGAGGAGTGCAGGTTTTGGTAGCAAGATTCAGCCAATCGGCCGATTGCCGGATAACGCACTCTTATATTTCGCCTTCCACTATCTCTCTCTTCTCCACCTTTCCCCTTCTTACCCTCCTACCCGTTCTCTCTTTCTCGCTCTCTCTCTCTCTCTCAGTCGCACACATACAATCAACCTATAAGTTTTGCTGTTCACAGGGCATGCATTGCTTTGCATATAGAGTTTTTTTTACCATTTTCCTATACACCAAACATTAAATTATTAGAACGGTAAGCATAACATCTGAGATATTTGAAATTATAGGTAGCGCACTTCCAACCCCAATGTAAACCAAAAGAAAAACATTGCTGAATCTGTGTGCGCGATTTTCGGGCATTTATATACCATACATTCCGTCAGTATCTTAGTTTATTACAACGTTGCCTTACGTAATTAAGTTATCCGCACATAAACGCAATCGGTTCTTTTGTCCCGTTTCAGGGCAACATGAGGAGGAGCTTACAGAGAATGTCTGCGCTGCTGGCCCTGTGTCTACTAATGCAGGAATTCCACCTCACCATGCAGGTAGCAGGTGCGGCGAAGCAGCCGGTAGAGAGACAACACAGACACGCCATCAATGAACTCGATGTGAGTCGACGCGCATGTCTATAATTTATTCAATAATGTCTGTAATTCTGCCCGAAACCACAAAACGCCTACAGTTAGTACTGCAAAGGCATAAAGCTGTAATGTTACCTAAAGTTAGGGGTTAAAAGCACGGAGGCGTGTGACAGGCTAAAGTGATGTTGGTAGGCATTCGATATTGATGACTCCCAGCTCGGGCTCACATATGAAATCCGTCACGAGTTTTGCGATGAAGCATGTGAGGGCTCTCCTATCCACACACCCACACACACACACACACACACACACACACACACACACACACACACACACACACACACACACACACACACACATTGTCTTCAGATAAGTCTACAAAACCATTCGTTTGAAGATCTTGGGGCAATATGAAATATCTCTATATATATATAGATACCCGTGTACATATAATATATATTAACTATAATCCAATAATTAGAAGTAAGTCATTCATAGCGACTAGCTTGCACACGATAGGCATTGTAACGGCGTTGCAGGCGTTGGCTGCAGGTTTTCCGTATACCTCGTGGGATTCAGTGTGGGAGAGAAAGTGCTATGGCGTAGCGCAGTCTAAACATCGTCTCAGAAGGCGGTGCACCGTGTATAAATTACATCTGCATGTCTCGTGTGCATTTCAGCGATTCTTTGCAAACTGGACATTGCGCAAGAACGCTAATTCGGTTACGCGGTGCCTTTCCATTAGGCGTGTTTTCCCGCGAGCTGCGCATGCGCAAGACATCGCAGAGGGAACGCGTAAACATGGCCGCACGGTGTCCTCAAGTGATGGCCTCACTGTGTAACATCCCTATAGGGTTGGATACGCTGTTAAAACCGTAGATCGTGAGGATTTCGAAAAAATTCCCGACCGCTCTCATTCTTTCCCGACCATTACAACACTTATTGGTATAGTTTGTCTAACGGCAAGTACCTACAGTAAACCTATAACGTGTCTTAGGACACTCGTACATCGTTATTTTCACAAAAATATGCAACGATAGCAATTTCATTGTTTATTTCTTGTTGTCAGATATGTGTTGATGTCACTTGTTTCTCATGAAACCATATGGGTGTTGCTAGAACACGAGCGTCGAAGGAGGGTGCCGTTACGTGGCAGCACTAGTACGCTTCAAAGTCCAAATCTTCCACAGAAAGATTCCACAGTGATGCTTCCGTGCTAGACAT